GAATCCAAGCCAAAGACTCCGACTTGATAAATTGAAGTTTCCTTGTTAGAAAATTCGGAATGCTGCGTAGCGTTCAGGAATCAATGACCTTGCTGCTATCATTTATTGCTAACATCCCAAAATCCAAACGTCCTTATGCGCATTTTAAGCTATTCGATGCAGTCTTGTGGGGAAGTCAAATTTCCCAGATTAGCCAGATTTAAATTTCAAGGGCAAAGATTTACAAAAAATTAAACGATATTGGATTCTCAAATAGTTACTTTTATTAGTTTCTGAACCTGGGCCAAACGTCCAACTTTCGGCATGAGACGAACCAAGCCCTAATTTGGGTCGACCTATATTAACTTACGATCGTCTGTTGGGTCAGACCTCGAACTTAGGACGCGTCGAGCCAATCATCTGAATCAGATCAGTAATAATTTTTCACCCGAACGAGGCTAAATATACATTATCATACATTTTTGGAATTTATTAGTTTATTCCTCACATGTGAAGATCGACAGCAGGCGTTTGTCCCGGAGACGATCTTCAGGCCCCGGTTGTTCAAAGGCCGATTAGCGGGTTTCTTTTTCTTGTGTTTAAAAGCATTTTCTCGGATAATTTTCTCCATTATTTTTAGAGCTTCCAATCATCAACTTGTGGACCAAGACTGAAGTGCTTTTTAAGCCTTCAAATCTGAATTCAAATCTCGCACTGACTCTGGGTTATCTTAACCCAGCTTTGAGCAACTCGGGCCAGACGGGTAGAACGTGTTGGACGATCCAAACTCATTCAGACGAACTCAACTGAACCAGACGTCGAACTTTTAATTTTCATTAACTTAACTCACGAAGTTTGACGTTTGTTCGACGTTTGGCCTAGGCTCAGTTGGCCTGCGGGATATCGTGAAAAGTAGACGCGGCGAGAGGCACGGGAGAGGAGACGCAAAGGCGGGGGAAGCTGGCTGCAGGCTAAGGCTCAGTTGAAATCGTCTGAATGTCCAACATCTTCTATCTGTCTGAAGATCGTCTCCGGGACAAACGTCGATCTTCACACGCAACGAACTGAACTAATAAATTAAAAATTTGTATGAGAATGTATTTAACCTCGGTCGGCTAAAATTGCCTTTTGGTTTGATTCAGTTGATTAGTTCAACGCGTTCTAAGTTCGACGTCCGACCTAACAGACAATCATGAAAAGTTCGACGTTTGATCAGCCCTAAGATGGCGACAAGAACGAATCAATTTCCTTAAGACAGGGTCAGATCCCGCTTTTAATTTACACTGGCTTTTCCTTCTATAAGTTCCTCATGGCTGTCCTATTTATTTTCTTGGTTTCTTTTCCTTTCCCTTTTTTTTGTAAAATATTGTGACGTTCGTTTAAACGATCCTCGAACTGTGGACTGAATGAAGCGAATTAGTGTAATTAGAGTATTAATGACGTTACTTTCTAAAATTTTGCGTCTTGGTCTCCATACAGGAGGTGAAGACATCGGTGACCAGGATGGCAATGCAATTCCCATGACTGTGGCCGTCACACACCCTCCTCCTCAGTAACACCACAATGAAATAAAACAAACGACGCGAAATGATTGCTGTCTAGTAGTAATAGTAGTAGTAGTGGTAGTCGTAGTCGTAGTGGTAGTGGTAGTAGTAGACTTTATTTTAGCTCGCATAAGCGCTAATATCTCCGAGAAGTAAATACAATGAAGATATATGTACACTCTAATAAAAAAAAAGTAAAAAAAACCCAGAAATTAAGTAAATTCATACAGGCTGGTAAAATTATTTGTTAAATACAATCAAGTATAAATTAAGAGTAATCAATCAAGCTACGTTTACAAAGTCAGTGCAGTTATTTCTAAAGTAGGTTATGCTTGCGGTAGTTCTTAAGTCATGATTTAACATATTCCATAATTTGAGCCCAAGAAATTTAAAGGAGTTTTTCCCATGAGATGAAGTACTTACACGCGGTACCTGTAACTTGTCTAAGAGAGAGGAGTGAACTGCAGTCGTACCCTGTCTAAGACGGACCCCATTTTGACCAGTCAGACCAGGTGTCCGTTTTAGTGACGGAGGCGTCCGCCTTAAAGAAAGTCCAAGAATACGAATGAAAGGATCTTCAGCAAAGAGGTGTCCGCCTTGTAGAGAGTTGGGGAAGAGTTCAGGCTAAACAAATTCTTAGTTTTTAAGGTAGTGATTGTAGCCATAGTACTTTGATATCCGAAAAGGTTTGCCAAGCGTTTAATCAATTTTAAACCGGTAGCTTTTACTAGTTCAGGTGTTAGCTTTTAGTTCTTAACTTTTTATTCTTTTATCACTCAGCTATTGCGTCTGACTGTTCTAAGTCTCGCTGGCATGGACTGCATGAGAGTCCATCGAGAACAAATAACCAATCAGCTTTTAACAATGCAGTCAATGCAATTTACCGTTTGATACCTAAAATGTTCAACAGGCCAAGTTATAATTTAAGAAGACAGAAGATTCTCGACCTACACAAAACTAAAACAAGGAGATTTGTG